GACATCTTTTTTTTTTTAACTTTATCTCACAGATACCGGTGCTGGGCCTAGGATGGGCTAAATGACTCGTTCGACTTGTTCTGGGCAGGGACAGAGCTAACGTTAAAGCACAAGTTCCCACATGTGACTCCCAAGAGCCAGGTCTTTGCAGCTTCCGCAGGGCCACTCGCACTGGCTGTGTGTGGGACATGGCTGGCTGAGTCAGGCTTTGTTTTCAGGGGCAGTGGAGACCTAGGGCCCAGGGGTGACCTGCATCCAGATACTCTTGTGATAGGAGACTGGAGAATGGGGGAAGGAAGGTAGGGAGGAAAGAAGGAAAACCAGATAGACTTGGGGAGGGGAAACCCACAGGCTGTTGCCTCATCTAGGGGAAAAGTTAGGAAGGAGGTAGCCGTGCCTGGAGTGGAAGAAACCGGAAAAGTAACAAGGCCGCCTCTCATTGCCCCTGGCAGAGGCCGGCTGCTGCCCAGCCCTTTTGCAACTCTAAACACAGAACTAACCTAATAAGTAAAAATGCCTTTCTAAACGTGTCTTTATTGAACATAGTATTAATCCACAGGGAAACATTATCTCACACATGGTTTTCCCTGAGCCAAGAATCATCTTTTGGAGAAGCACTGGCTATTCTTGTCCCTTGGCAAACCCCAGGGACTAAAGTTGCTTTCTTTCCCTCTTTTTTCTTTTCTTTTCTTTTCTTTTTTTTTTTTTTAAGACAGGCTCTTGCTGTGCAGCCTAGGCTGGCCATGAACTCGCATCCTGAATGCCAGGATTACCAGTGTGTGCCACCATGTTCAACTGAAGCTGTGTTCTGACCCGGGCAGTTGTGGGACAGAGAACCTCAGTGTGTTGGGAACCAGAAGCTGGGCTATGAAAGGAGGAAGCAGTGCAGAACTAGGAAATTGTGATCTAGGGGCTTTCAGAGGAAGGGGTGTCTGCTCCCTGTTAGATTTGTCCTGGGCATTAGTGGTGCCACAGAGTGGCTGTTTGTGTCATTGAAAGCTATGAAAGGCTCACTATCACTGGACTTGGGTACCTTTTGGTACTGTGTGTTACCCAAGACCTGTCATATAAAGTCCCTTGTTGGGGGGGAGTTCTTTCATGTCTAAGAAACATAAAATTGCTGTTATCAAGGGAAGTCTTCCTTTTCCTTAAAACCTTGTATTCTTTTAAATTTTTTTAAATTTTTTATTTTATAAATGACATTGGGCCAAGTAATTGATTCCATTTCTCTTCTTATGTGGGCCATGCTGAAGAAAAGTAACAGGCCAATCTTGCACTTTAACTTTTTTGGAAACGTGAGTCCAGCCGGTGCTGGTTTGTTTTGAGACAGGATCTCCTTAACGTAGCCCAGGCTGGCCTCAAATTTGCCAACCATGATGATCTTGCCTCAGCCTCCCCAGGACTGAGATTATAGGGTGTGCTGCCATATTTCGCTTCTCTTTTATTTTGGGACAAGGTGTGTTAAGCTGCTGTGTTATCCAGTCTGTGCTCGAACTTGTGATCCCTGGTCCAGCCTCCCAGAGCACCTCTTTAAAGGCGTACACGCTCTGTAGCCAGCACAGTCAGATACCAATTTTCCTTTCTCTCTTTTTGCACTTGCATGAATACTTTGGTTTTATTGGTCATGAAAACAGTGTAGAGTCCCTAATAAAAACTAGGAAAGTACAAAAAAGTATAGAAAAGAAAAGGAAAGAGAGAAAAAACAATGGTTTGCCATCTTTGTTCCATCCTCAATATGAAAACTATAAATAGCACACATTTATGGAATGCACATAAAATAGGTAGATTGAATATATATTTATGTGTGCATCTATGTTAATTCCCAAGAGTGTTACACTTTTAAAATAGCAGAGACTTTTCTTAAATTAGACCTAAGAGCAGAGTGAAGACAGGAAAGAGGTGGGAGTGGTAGGGAAGTAAGGATTAGTGGGGCTGAACTGTGGCTCCTGGCAAGCCCCAGGGTGCTGAGAAACCGGAGGAACAGGAGCAGGAGGTGAGTCCTTAAGGCAGAGCCAAGTTCCAAAGTTCCGGACAGATGCAGAGGAAGGTGCGAACGGATCCTTTGACTTTGGAGAGGGCAGGGGAGAGCCAGAACCCGCAGCTCAGAATGACTTCAACAAATAGAATTTCATTTTCAAATCATCAGCATAGGTTAGGCCCCTTGTGATGATACAGTGTCCCTTGCTCTCTGCAGCAGCTTGGGACCCGCTGGGCACAGAGGCCAGGCCTTGCCAACAGCTGCTCCGCAGAGGCTGGGGTTTCCGTGGCTTTCTTCTGTGAGCTCTTGTGGAGCACAGAGGACTGCTCTCTAAGAAAGGCTCCTCTCACCCTTGGATCTTTGGGGTATACAGTGAGTGACACTTGAATTAACAAACCTGCTGGGAACAAAACTCCTGTCACAGTGTTGGCCACTGTGGAGTTGGAAGGGTGGGCTGCAGAGGCCCTCATGGCACAGTGGGAGTTCTGAGACTGCGAGCTGTGGGGTGAGTTCTTCATCTTTGGGATCAAATTTCCCAGGATGAGGGCAGGAGCACCCTCTTATAAGAAGACTCACGTGCTGTCTCAGGGAACAGGCTGGCAGGTTGTGGTGACATCCCTTGGGCAGGCTGGGCTTATCCCCCACTTCCGGTGTGGGCTTTTTGAACTTTACTGTTCCATGTTCAGGAGCCACAGCCTGATTTTTTTCTGGGTGGACAGAGTGGAGGCAGCAGTTGAGAATGCGTCCTTCTAGCTCCTGCATGATTCCTCCCCCTAGTAGCTGAGTTTCCCTCTCCCCTCCCCCTCTTCTTTTCCTCCCTTCTTTTCCCTCCTTCCCCCTCCCTCCATCCCTCCCTTCTTTCCTCCCTCCCTCCCTTCTTTCCATGCATCCATGCATCCATGCATCCATGCATCCATGCATCCATCCATCCATCCATCCATCCATCCATCCATCCATCCATCTGTGCTGCACAGTACTGGGATTGGACCCAGGGCTTTTACCCTGCGCTACATCCTTAGCTCTTTGCTTTGTATTTTTTATTTTGAGACAGGGTCTAGCTAGGTTGCCTGGGCTGGGCTCAAATCTTGGAATCCTCCTGCCTCTGCTTCCCAGAGTGCTGGGATCCCAGGCATGTGTCGCCTCATGGGGCTTGGCCGCTGAGTTTTGATGACAGCCCATTCCTTTCAACAATAATACATATTGCTGCATCTCACCATGTGAAATATATCTGGGCGCTGATGTTGATTCTAACACAGCTTCAGTATCCCTGGGGTCAGACTCTCAGAAGGCTCATGGCACAGAGAGGGACACCCCCCTTAGTGTGCCAGAGTTGAAAGTGATTGATTACCTAGGATCTGACTGTGTTGAAAACCATTACTAGTTAGGATGGGCGCTGGAGGAATAGTCTGCTTTTCAGCTTTAAATACTTTGCTGAAGGGATTTACTCAATTCTCCCACTTTCATCAGTGAGTTTCTCTCTCCCAAAGCCTGCAACAAACGCCCTTGAGGCCGAGTTTCCTGAGCCCAAAAGTAGACTGAGTGGAAAGTTTTCAACAGCTACTGTGGCTCAACTGAAGACACAACTGAGACCTTGTCATTTTGAATGCTTAGGGAAGTGGTTCCTTAATTCAGTCTTTATATTGTGTGTGTTCTTTTTTTTTTTTTTTTTTTTAAACAAAAAACAAGGTCCTAGGGCTGGCCAAATAGCTCAGCAGATTAAAGCACCTGCGCAGGGACCGGAGGTTCGATAGGGGCCTGCCATGCTGACCCTGCCCCCGGCGGGCATGCTGAGAGAGCAATTGAGACTGGGCGTGGTGGTGGGAGGCTGTAAACAGGCGGATCACTACGAGTCTGATCTAGTCACGAGACCCTAAACACTGTAGACTCTTCCCTAAAATACAAAAAAAAAAAAAAAAAAAAGCAGGGCCTTGCTATGCAGTTCAAGCTGGTTTTGAACTCATTTCATAGACTACACTGGCTTTGAACACAGAGCAATCCTCCTGCCTCAGCCTCAAGTGCTGGAGTTACAGACATGCATCCACTCCTTTCTTTAGGTATTTGAGGAAGGATCATCAGTGTGTGTGATTTAAGAGGGATATCCTATATGTCAAAAGAGTAAGAAGTTTCTAAAGCAAAATAGGGGTGCTATATGAATCCAGTTATCTTTTTAAAAGACTAATCAGGCTGGGAGAGGGTATAGCCCAGTGGCAGATCATTTTTTTAACATTTGAGGCCCTGAATCTCATCTCCAGCACTAACTGTGTCTCTGTCTATATCTGAATGCACACCTCTGTCTCTGTCTCCATCTGTCTGACCTCATGTGGTCCAGGAAGCAGTTGTCTATACTGAAAACCCTGGGCCTCAGCTCCTGTTTGGCTCATTTCTCTGACATGTAGTCATGCTAACGAATATTGGAAGTTGTATCTGGCCAAGCGCTGAGTTGTGCCTTCTGCCTCCAGAGCCTGGGGCCACAGTGTGGTACTGTTTCTCCACCTTCGTTCTGCACTTCCTTCCCCACTAGCTCGTTCCCTGGGACACTGTCCTCGGGTGCAGACTTCCTTCCATCTTGGGTAGATTGCAGCTGTTGGAAGGGTGGGGCTGTGGCCTCGGTGGGCCTCCTCATGCAAAATCTGGAGCCGAGGGCAGTGGGGAGAGCTTGGCTGTGTTAGTTCCCCCCCATGGGGAGACCATGGGGGGCTAAGAGGGATAGGAGCCCGGGCCCTGCTGGGAGAGGAGGCCCTAGGGTTTGTGAGTGGGTGCGGCAGGCACCTGAAGAGCCAGTGAGCTCAGGCTTCTTGGGCTGAGTCATGGGCCGTGTTCAGAGCCCTAGGCAAAATCCCCACTGGAACCAACTGGGTCAGAGGGCTCACAAGGCAAGGGTGAAACCCAGCACGCTTCGCAGCCACTTGTAAGCAGATCCAAAGGGAAGAAGCAGTGTCACCTAAGGGATGTGCTTTGATTGGTGATGACCATGGTCATGCTGATAATTTAACAAAGTAATGAAGTGTTTTCCTTCTTTTAGTCACATAGAAAAAATCACCACGTGGCAAGACCCTAGGAAGACGATGAATCAGCCCCTGAATCATCTGAGCCTCCACCCTGCCGTCACTTCCACTCCAGTGCCCCAGAGGGCCATGGCCGTGTCCCAGCCAAACCTGGGTAAGCCCTGAGCTTCGGTGCCCTGCTGAAGGGACGGGTGTCCAGTCAGGGGTGTGGGACTCGAGGGCAGCTCTGGTGTCTCCCTCCCTCTCTATGGACCCAGCTGCTGTCCTCACTACCTTACCTCCCTGCCACCCTTCCTCCTGGTCCTGACCCTGGTTCATGACATGATACCATGATACGTGATGCCTTCAGTTCACCCTGCAGTCCTGGCATCCTCTCCAGTGACCTTGATCAAGCGTTTTGAAAATCACCCAGGCTTCCTCTCTTTGTCTACACTGATGGCACGTGGGCCCGCATCTCTCAGTCTGGTTTCTGAAGACAGTGTGTGTCCAGTAGCAGGTGAAACACTTTTTTGTGCTTTCCCTCTCTGAATCCTCATAGATACCTCTCAGCAGCAACCAAATCCCCACGGTGTGGACAAGGAGAACTTCCCAAGTCCTACAACTTGTGGATAGCAGAGCTGGAGTTTGGACCCCTGTTCCTTTGATTTTTGAGTGCAGTTAAAACAGACATGGTGGAGCATGTTTGTAATCCCAGCCCTCTGGGAGGCTGAGGCAGGAGGACTGGAAGTTTGAGCCTCGCCTGGGCAACACTGCAACCCTGTTTCAAAAAAAAAAGATTTGAAAAAGAAATAAAATGCAGAAGGGTTGTTGGATCCAGTCTCTTGGAGAAATAGTAATGATTAAGGCTGTAATAACAAATGGTAAAATAAGGTGGAAAGTGAAAAATTGTGTTAAGGTTGTTTTACCTACTGAGAATCCACCTCAGATTCATTCACTCAGTGGTGTTAACCTTTGCATAAACTGAAAGTGGTTTCTCCCCTTCCCTTCCCCAGGGTAATACGGTTTACTTTTCACTCAATTTCAGTGTTTGGCTGTGAGTTTTAGACTGAGAAGAGAATATTTCTGTTTACTACATTTACTTCAAAAGCACTAAGGTTATGTCCCCTAGTGATTAAGCAAAGCGAAGGAATTCTCTGCAGCCTCGAGAGCAGCCAGTTGTTTTGTTAGGCATTTTCTCCCTTCCCCCTGAGGGATAAAAATAGAACAGGGACAATTTCCCCACTGGTTTCAGATTGGGAGTGGTGGCCCACACCTAGAGTCGCAGCACTTGGGAGGATGAGACAGGAGAATCCCTGTGAGCTCAAGGCCAGCCTGGGCCAAGTGAGTTCAAGCCTTGGGCTAACAAGACCCTGTTTCAAAAAACTGGGGGGTTGGGGGGGATGTTATTGTTTTCAGATAACTTTCCATTTATCAAGCAGTCCAGAGACTGCTTTATTCACAGAACAGTTAATTTTAGGCAGTGAAAAGAATTTCCTGCTGGATTTTTAGGAATGAATAGGATAAAAAGGAGGTGTCATTCCGGCCACCCTTGCCTCTTACTGTACTTCAACAGAGAGATTCTGACTTGAGCAGACGTGAGCTCTGCAGGGCATCTGCACCTTCTGTTCCAGGTGCAGGGTCAGGGTTCCAGGTCCCTGTTCCAGGCTTGAGGCACGCACTACACCCCGCCACAGCTGGTGCCGGTCAGGCTGGTTGCCTTCCTTCTCTGAAGGGCAGGGTGAGGAAAGGGCCCAGGTCCTTCTCTCACCAGGGGCCAGCCGGAGCTTCCCGCCTGTCCTCATCCTGGATGTGTATAAGCACTCACAGAAGGCAGGTGCTGCTGCCGTGAGGAGACCTCCGGTGAGGCGGCAACAGACTGGGCCATGCCTTCTTTCAGGCTTTCATTTTCATTAAAAATTCTAAAAATTTATTCCAGTTTTGGCCCTAAAGCTTGCTTTGGATGCTGCAGATTGAGCTGAGGGCCTCACGACCCGACACGGCTAGAAAGCGTTCAGTGTTTCCAGTTCTGTGGCATGGGTTCCACACAAGTGCTGGCGTGCGATGACCCACCTTGCTCCTTGCTTCTCTCACCTTTATATCTGTATACATGGAGCGGCCCCATTCTTTTTAGAAAATGCCTAATAGTCCAGTACACTCTTAGCCTATAATTAGTTTATTTAACTAGTTCCACCTGATGGATATCTATATTACCAGTGTGCTGCTAGTTTGCAAAACCTGGGAGCAGTATGCCCAGTCATGCTTTTTTATGCATGGTCTTTAAGTTTTAAAAGAAATTGTTCAAGTGGGCTGGGTGTGGTGGCCCACACCTGTAATCTCAGCACTTGGGAGGCTGAGGCAGAAGGATCAAAATAAGTTTGAGGTCAGCCTGGGCTACACAGAGTTCAAGGCCAGCTGTCCCCACCCAAAAAATTATACAGGTGAGAACTAGACTGATTAAGATTGTTGAATGCTTAATTATGTTTTTTTTTCCAAAAATTTATTTATTTATTTACTTATTTATTTATTTAGTGTGTGGCCAGCTCAGCCCACCAGGGGGCGGGCGGGCCAGCATGTGGTGCTGGGGGATTGAACCAAGGTCTCTGCTTTGCTTGAGCTTAGCTTGTTCTAAGTAGGTGCTTTAGACCACTGAGCCATCTCACCAGCCCCGCTTAATTATGTTAAAGATGGACATGGGTCAACCTGCAGGTACATGCACACTAGTGGTCCACTGGTACCAGTAAGATATCTCCTGAAAAGTTGTAAATATTCAGAAACATATTTCTCTGAGGCTAAGTAAAATGCCATACTTTTCAACATTCTAATAAATCAAAGCAATGTATTTAAAAATTTTTATTTTATTGGTACATTTTAGATACACATAATGATGACGTTCTTCATAGGAAATTTCTATCTGTACGCGATATATCTTGATTCTGTCTTCCCATTCCTCTCTTCTCCCTTCTTACAAAAGCTGTTTCCATTATTTGTTTCTGTTCTTTTGTTTTCCTTTCTCCTCCTGCTTCCCTTGTTCCCCTTCTCATTTGAACATTTTCTTCCCCTTTCCCAGAATCTCTTATATATTTTGGTCCTTATACTTTCAGTTTCTCACACCAGAGATACAGCATGATATTTGAACATGGGCGTCTGATTTATTTCACTTCTGAGATGGCCTCAAGGTGCCTCTGTTTGCCTAGAAATGTCTCAAGCTTATCTTTCTCTGTGAGAGAGTCGTACTCCATTGTGGAGGAAAAGTCAAATCTTTTTTATAAGTTGCTGAACATTTAGGCTGTTTTCAAGATTTAACTATTACCAACTGCTGCTGTAAACATGGGTGTGCATAGATTGCTGTGGTACAGTGTTTTTAATTCTTCTGGAAGATACCCAGGGGGAGAATGACTGGGTCAAATGGAACCTCTAGTCCTAGTTGTTTGAGGAATCTCCACACTGATTTCTACAGTGCTTGCACCAGTCTACACTCCCACCAACAGAGGAGAAGGGTTCCATTTTCCCCACAGCCCCTCAGCATTTGTTATTGGCTGACTTCTTGATGGTGTCCATTCTTTCTGGAGTGAGATGGAATCTTAGTGTTTAAATTTGCATCTCTCAAATGACTTGTGATCTTGAACATTTTTCATATATTTATTTACTGTTTGTTTCTTTATCTGAGAATTATGTACTCATCTTAGATGCCTATTTTTGGCTTGAGTCTTTGAATTTGGAGAAGTCTTATTTATTTATTTATTTTTGAGTTCTTTATATATTCTATGTATCAGTCTCTTGTCTGAGGAACAGCCGGCAAAACTTTTCCCCACACTGTGGGTTGTCTCTTCACTCTGCTGGTGATTTCTCTTGCTGTGCAAAAGCTTTTAATAAGATTCCAGTTATGGATTCTTTGTACTATTTCATGTGTGATATGGTTTGTGTTCATAAAATTTTTGCCTATACCCACATCTTCAAGAGCTCTCTCTATTCTCTCTCCTAGTAGATTTAGGATTTCTGTTTTAATATTTAGATTTTTGATCCATTTTGATTTTACCTTAATATATGGTGAAGGATATGGGTGTAGTTTTAATCTTTGGCATGTGGAAGGCCAGTTTTTCTAGCACTATTTATTGAAGAGGCTATTTTTCTTCCAGTGAATGTGCTTATTAGCTCCTTTGTCAAAGATAAGGTGGCTGAATGTGTTTGGAATTATTTCTGTATCTTTTAATCTGCTCCATGGATGTTTGGGCCTATTTTTCTTGCCAGTACCCTGCTGGGAAGAGTCACAGTAGGTCTGTAGTATAATTTCAAGTCAGGGATTATGATGCCCTCTGCCTTGTTCTTTGTTGCCCAGACTTGCTTTTTCTATTGTAGATGTCTTCTGGTTCCAAATAAATTTTAAGATTGTTTTTCCTTTTTCTGTGAGATATGTTATTGGTATTTTGATAGGGCTTGTATTAAATCTGTGTAACAATTTTGGGAGTATGGCCACTTTCACTATATTGGTTCTTCCTACTTAAGAACAAAGGATATTTTTCCATTTTTATGATACTGTCTTTGATTTCCTTTTTCAGAATGCTGTAGTTTTGAGTGTAATGATCTTTTACTTTCTTTCTTAGATTTTTTTTTTGGCTGGCTCAGGATGCCTTAAGGGCAGGTCTGGTAAGGCATTAGGATCTGTGGATCTGGGGATCGAACCACAGAATCCTGAGCCTCAATGCTTTGCTTAAGCAGGCACTTAGACAACTTAGCCAATGGGCAGGCCCCCTGTTTATTAAATTGATTCTTTGGCCTCTCTCTCTCTCTCTCTCTCTCTCTCTCTCTCTCTCTCTCATGCTATTGTGAAAGGTGTTCTTTCCCTAATTTTTCTTTCGGTGTATTATTCACGTTAGGAATGCTATTGATTTTCTTTCTCTCTCTCTCTCTCTCTCTTTTTTTTTTTTTTTAAAGTTTATTTATTTAGTGTGTGTGTGGCCAGCTCAGCCCACCAGGGGGCGGGGCTGGCTGGCATGTGGTGCTGGGCAATTGAACCGCGGTCCCTGTGCTTTGCTAAGTTTAGCTTGTTCTAAGTAGGTGCTTTAGACCACTGAGCCATCTCACCAGCCCTCTTTTTTTCTCTTTGAGAGAGGGTTTCACTGTACAGTTCAGCCTGATATTGTCCTTGCAGTGATCCTTGTGCTTTAGCCTCCCAAG